CTTCGGTTCATTCTTTCTTCTATAATGTAAAGCTATTCGAGTCCGATTTTGTTTTGAACTGGGGCTTCATACATAAGTTGAATTTAAGTAAACCTTTGATTTTTCTGTCAGTCTAGTAACTAATGATTTGTATTGGTATTGTATTACCCAGCGATCCCCAACCTCCGGGCCATAGACCGGTAGCGGGCTGCAAGAGTTGAGCGGGTGTGAAATGTATGGTTTTCGGGATAATAGGATAATCTTTTTTTATCGGTGTTATCTTTAACTTGATTTCCCTGGGTCTTTTCATGTTGTGTTATGAATAAATCTTTTTTTGGTACCGGTACTGGTTTTATTTTGTTGTGTTTATCCGCAACACCTTAAAGGCCGGTCCATGAAAATATTGTCAGACATAAACCGGTCCTTTGCACAAAAAAGGTTAGGGACCAGTGGTATTGACTACTAATTAAAATACACCAGTTATGGTCAGTTATTTGTAGTCTTGGATATAAAAATAGTAGGGTTGCATGACTCGCAGATCAGTTTAACCCTCGTTTGTCATGTACTGGGTCTTTGTGCAGATCCTCAGTTCATCTTCTGTCTGAGAGGAGTCATTGTAGTTCCCTTCCACCTCCCTTTAAGCAAACTTCATTCTGTCCCTAACAATAAAAAGACTTCAATAGTAGGTGGATGGAGCTTTTGTCTCTGAAACGACTTCTTTGATTTAATTTTATTGTACTTTGTATCATTTGCCGTTGTGGCTGTATTGCATGGCTTGATGACGTTGCAGAAAGGGGTCTGCGCTGTTTTTGTGTGAATATAGTTCATTACGTACCACAAACCTGCAAACCATAACAAAACATGTAAATGATAGGCACTAAACACGACTTATTACTTTTTCCCTTGATTTTGACGACTTGCATGGAGTTGAAAAATGTAATATTATTCATTCACTTAAAAAAGAATATACATTTACTTTAAGGAGTCACTTCTTGTGTACTGAACTTACTAAAACGTTCCCTTCTTGTCTTTCTTCTCAGATCCTGTGTGGCAGGGAGATCCCTCGCTGGGTCAATCGCCTGGCCTACTTCAGCTCCTGCGTGCCATTCCTCCAGAGCTGCCTGCCCAAAGAGTGGCTGACCCCAGCTGCCTTACAGTCCAGTGTGAGCCAGGAGCTCCACGGAGGCGAACTGGAGGAGGCAGAGGATGCCGCCGCCACAGCCTCCCTGGCCTCCATGTCACCCTGCTCACCTTCTTCGTCCTCCAGCCCATCCTCCTCCTTGCCTCGTCACTCTCGCCACCAGCCCCGCAGGTAGAGGCTGCATGGCATGCTGAGAAACTCTGGGCTGGACTTGTTACATTGGCAGCCAGGTAACAGAAAACCTGCTGCAGTTGATGGATCTATCTACAGCCAAAGGTCCTGTCAGACTTATCCTCGCACATGGTGGGGTGTCAGCCAAACACTTGAAGAAGTCCTGAGCAGTGAAATGTTTTTTTTCCTGCCGAAGAAAGGAGCTCTTATTGCTGACAAAGACGGGAAACCTGTGGTCATCGCTCTCATCAATCTGAGATTTTAACTTTTTCACATCGAATATGTTTTCATTATTTTACCTGCCAAATTCCTTCATGTGTTTACCAGCCACATCCAAACTATACCAGTGCTTTATTTATCAGTGGTATTGATCCTCACCAAAAGGGTATGATTTAGGTTTGTTAAGGCTTATGGCTGTGTTAAAAATGTCAGAGGACTGCTACAAGAATTAAAAGTGCTGGATGCTCTGCCTTATACTTTTAAGTACAGCAGGTCTGTGAGGGGATTTTATTGTCTTGAGCGACCTCCCAGTTATTGGTGGTTTTAAATGTCCAGGAGCTGAGCGCTGATATCATTTGATCTGTGGCTGGTAAATGTTTCCACTGCCGCCTGCTGT